AGGAGGCATGTCCGCAAAAAGGCTCCCAACACGAATGATGCATCAGCTGACTTGCACTGGAGTGAGCAATAGCATAGCCAGGGCTAGGTGTGTGGGGCCAACCTGAGGTGTGTGTATGTGGTATCTACCTAAGGGGCTTCTGTCTCCCTGTCATTGTAGTATCAGGAAGCCTCAGTATCTAATTATCCCCACTACACTCCTGTGCAGTAGGGAAGTGTTAGTAAAGATGGGAACTGAGATCAAGACCAGGGGTATGTCTACACTGGAGCTAAAGGTGTAATTTCCAGCTAGGGTCGCCACACCAGTGCTAACTCTGGGCGAGTTAGCCACGTGTATGGCCCTGGGATTTCAGATGAGATTGGCCTCGGGGCAGCTAGCCCGTGCTTCTGCTCGCTTCACTGTGACTACGCTGCTGTTTTCAGTGCACTAACTCCATCCGAATGTCTGCACAAGCTGGGAACGACCCCTCCGGTACCAATGTAGACATACCCTAGGTGATATGCTCAAGAACACATGGGCATCTGTGGCGGAGCAGGGATTCAAGATCAGGTCTCCCACAGCCCACGCTGGCTCTCTAGCTGCTGAACCATCCTTGCTTTCCACAGCACATGCTAGGCCAGCCTTTTTGAAAGAGCTCAGCATGCCAGGGGAGGCTCTGGCCCTTTCCGTCCGAGTGAGTGGGCATGTGTGAATGAGAGCAGATAGGCACAGGCTGGGGTGTGGGTGTGGTTACAGCATGCAGGTAGCGGTACACTACGCAGGTGCATCGTATGTGGTACAGTTCTGTTCTCATCATGACTCAGGAGAGACTGAAACCAAAAGCCATTGTCTACGCTGTTCACCCATTAAAAGCTCTGGGAAAGAGACTTCCTCATGTTATCTGACATCAGAAATCTCCCCTTGGAAAGCGAGGAAATAAACTTGAGCCTGATGCCGGGAGACGTGAAGGAGGTGGCGAAGCAGCCACACAATAAGTGGCAGCCTGCCAGTGAGTTAGACATGAAGAATCACAGCTGATGGCCAGGTGTTTTTGAAGCACATTGTTTCTGTGAAGCCATATCCTGGGCAGGCACACGATTAGACTTTATTCGACATGAGCAACGATTGTGTCCCATGTCATGCAAATAAAATTGTGTTGGCCCAGTGCACATGTGTGAGGGAGTGGCACAGTGGCTGTGAGTGGACACAGGATGTCTGCTGGGTCTGGGTATACAGGGAAGACTGAGGATGGATACAGCACAGTCACCTGAGCACGTGTCCATGCAACCCACTGGTCAGTGCGTTCATCTCTGCCTCCTCTACAGAGGATACAGATCAGTCACAACCCCTAGCTCCGGAGCCAGGCTCTTTAACTCAACCTGTAGAGACTCCTGCTTTTAGTTCTCAAGGTCCTCAGTTGAGTTCCCAGTGTGGCAGCCATCACATCTATGCTACTGATACACCACCCTAACACCTTGCTATCCAGGTACCAGTGGGTCCAGGGTCTGTTTGTTTGCGCTCACGATTGTTATGATCTGTGGGGATGTTTAGAGAGGCATCGTGACCCAGTGGAAAGGGCTCTGGAGTGAGAACCAGGCCACCCCTCCTCCCCCCGCCCCGTGTTCTGTTCCCAGCTCTGCAACCTCAGGCGAGCCACTTTGCCTCAGTTTCCTGAGCTGTGGAAGAGGGGTAATGATATTGTCAAGTCCTGTGAGCTCTGCTGATGAAAGGCACTTGGAACAAAGGCATTTGGGAGAGCAAATGTGGGTCATTTAGGAAACTGAAGAGGAGAAAGGGCTCAAGGCTAGGCCTGGATTCCTGGACCAGAACAAACTGTCTTTTTCCCCCTTCTGGTCTGGGGTTCTGTCCTGCTCCACTCAGGAGGTATGTCACAGCAGGTCATTACCCCAGTTAAGAGCGTTCCCTAAATATGTGCATGTGGGGAAGGACTGGCTGCATCTTTCCCAAAGCTTCTCTTCTCCCTCCCCCACCCTAGTTTAAAAGCCTTTCCAGCTCCAGCCTGGGATGCATGGGGCCACTCAGTTGATTCCTCAGCTGTCTGTCTTTGCCTTGCTCATTTTTTCAGCACCAGGTCTATGCCTGGGATCCCAGGTTTACTAAAAGTGCCGATCTCGCTCTGCACTCCCCAGAGAGGCCCTTGCTGTAATCCCAGCAGGAGTGTGGGATGGGCTGTTTCTAGAGGAAGAGGCAGCTCCCATGGCGCAGTAGCCAAGATTGGCAATAAATCTTCCTTCCCGCTGTAAACAATCTCGGAGAGGGTGTCACAGGAGCACGGATGGAAGCAAGGAGGCCAGGAGCACTCGCCTGCTTTAGTGTCTGGCAGTAAGTGTGTCCCATTGGCTCTTGTCCCCGCTTTCTGTGCAAAGAAGACCATTCCTAGGGAGCTCCATTGTGGCTCCTGCTCTAATGAGCTCAGCTGTTATTCTTTCTGTGTGAGCTTGGTGCTGGCGAAAGGAGTACAATGGACAACCCTGTGGCCTGAAGTCCTCTCATGTACAGAACAGGGGTGGTTCAGCCACCTCCATGGACAGGACAGGCTGTGGCATTTTGGAGAGGGCTTGAGGGACAGCTTTATATCTTTACAGGCTCCCTGCTCAACTCCCTTCTTAAGAAAGCAAATCAAATTCAACTCTCTCTCGTCTCCACTGGCTGCAACGAAATTAGAGCGGGGTATTTGGCCCAGTGTTTCTAATGGAACTGATAACTGCTGGTCCACCACATTCCCCCATCTCGAGTTTATGAATAGTGACTGTGTTTGTATCTCTGTGATGCTTGCACTGAAGTTAGCTTAGCAAGGAATAGCTACAGACAATAAGCAAGGCTCTACAACCTGTATACACACTCTGTCTCGCACACACACACACTGTCTTTCTCTCTTTGCCTGGAGAATCTATCAGGGCACCGACTCATGAGGACTACCAAGCCCTCCATGTTTGTGAAGTCTGGGATGGGATTATTGAACAGTGCCTAGTGAGATTGGACAGAATCAGCTTGGTCTGGGGAAAGCTCCTGAAAGATTGTGTCCCGTTCATGGGGCAGGCAGGTGTGTGAGATACCCAGCAAGAGGCAGCAGATCAGACCAATCTGGGAGAGTAGGGGAAGGAGCCCAAGTATATCTCAAACACTGAACGTTGCTGATGGTGAGTGAGGCAGTGCAGTGCATGAGCGAGAGAGGAAACCATTTCTTTCTTTAATGGATTGAATAAGCCTGGCCTGTAGGAAAACCTGACAAAGTCTGATCTCTGCTCTAAAATCCTGTGGGTGGAACTGCAAGGGGCCTAAGGGAGTTAGTTAATGGGATTTGGGCCCCTTTGAATGTCCCAGCCTATATTTCTGTGTCTCAACTGTGTGTGTAACTCCTGCTGTCCTTTCTGGGCTATGATAACATGACGTCTCTGGACACTAAGCTGGCAACAAGGCTATGCTGGCTTCTAGTTCAACAAAGATTGCATCTGCTCACCAGCAGCTAGCTAGATCCCAGCCACACACCCATGCAGTGATACATCACCGAGAGATAGCAAACTAAGCTGAGCCGTGGCAACAACCTGAGATTTCTGGCCAGCTATATTCTGGCCAGCTATATTCTGCTGACAATCCCCCTACAGATTCCATTGGACATGGTATCCTTTAAGCAATGTCCCAGGCTGCTATGTAGCATTTCTGTGTACAGTACCATTAGACCACTGCTGTGCTCCGCCCGAACAGGGGGTCTCATATCAGGGGTGGGTAAATAATCTCTATGTCCATAGTTTTAGTCTAAATTTGCAAAGTCCTTTTCTATCTATCTATAAACATATAAGTGCAAGTTATTATTATTAATTATTATCATATCGGTCCATTCATCAAATTAAATCTTACAAAAACACAATGTTGAAACATCCGTCCCTTACGAAAGGCAGTATTGGTTTTGTCTGCCCCCAGGCTCCCCAGTCATCAATAACCCAAGTACTGAAATATTTAGAAACCGAAAGAGCACGAGTTAAATGATTCTTTCAGAGAGCACTTTACATTTCTCAGGGTCTGTTTCTTTTCTGCCCGCTGCACTGCATGTCCTGAGTTTCTGGGAGTAGAGGCGTTGCAGAGAGGGGGGCGCGACAGCTGGTTTAAAGGAGCAGAACTTTGCCCTGGAGAGGGTTTAACTCATTCAGGGGACTTAGTGGTAATTTTTTTCTTTAAACATTAGTGCTGTCAGACAAAGTCAAATGGAAAACAAAGATTTATTTACAGGTTTCAGAGTAGCAGCCGTGTTAGTCTGTATTCACAAAAAGAAAAGGAGGACTTGTGGCACCTTAGAGACTAACAAATTTATTTGAGCATAAGCTTTCGTGAGCTACAACTCACTTCATCGGATGCATTCAGTGTAATTACAGCTTATGCTCAAATAAATTTGTTAGTCTCTAAGGTGCCACAGGTACTCCTTTTCTTTTTAAAGATTTATTTAGTCATTTTTACTTTCTTTTTTGGGGGAGAGGGGGATCCAACAGAGTAGCCTGTGGTCAGTGGAACAGTCCTCTGAATGGAACAGTCCTTCAGTGGAAATGTGATCTGTAAACTAATTTCAGATTGTTAAAATTTATTGGTGGGAAATTAAATGGTCAGAGTAAAGAAGCCATAGAAAGTACCAGCATGGAATATACAAAGCCTTAACTTGGTAATAAAATCTGCTGAATCCAAAGTAAGGCATTTATAATGATGACAAATAAGCTTACCAAAGACTTCCCCATCATGTAATATGGAACACGAGTGCCAGAGTAATCTCTGTTTGCTCTTCGATTTAGGAAAGGATAAGTCACAGTCAGAAGCTGTTTTGCAGATGTAGAGGCCACCTATATGCTCAGTTACAGTGGGTTAACCCTGACATAACTCCACTGACTTTGATGGAGTTACACTGGATCTGGCCCAATGTAAATGGAAACACAATTTTGGTCCCACAGGGAGAAAAAAATACAAAGATTTTCCAGCCACTAACAGTAGCACTTTAATAACTCTTTGCTACTCACCACCTCCAGGCTCTGCTGACTTTTACAGATGATGAGCTGCTGTCTGCTTTAGCAGTGTGCTGTCTGCTTATGCTGCTTTCCTGTTTCAAGCTCCACAGCCTCCAGTGCATTAGCCCCTGGCAAAGCAGAAGCACCTGAAATGTACAAGGAAGCTGTAGAGTAGGGGTGGAGTCAAGAGCCAGTGATGTCATCCAAAGACAGCCTCCATTCATAAAAATAGTAGAAGCTGTTACCAGACCATCTGTTCCACTTATTTATGTTTCATTCTCAACCCTTAATCCAGTTCCTTAGCCCAGACAAAATTTGCTGGGAAGAGCTGACATCTAGTGGTAAATGTCTGTATTTATCGAGCTGGATGTTTGGATCCAAATAATTTCCAAGCACCTATTGTAACATTGCAAACTGGCCACTGATCATAGTTGTGAAGTGGGTGCAGATTTTTGTATTAAATTATGTGCTCTCTGCTTTTCTAGAGCACATTTCACTTGATGAGCTCAGTGCACCTGATGGAGATTGGTTAATTAACACTCAAAATATCCCAATAGGTAAACACTTTGTGATTATGCCTCCTTTATAGATGGGGAACTGAGATACAAAGAGGCCAAGGCCCAGATTTTCAGTGGTATTTAGGCATTGCTCAGCTCGGCACTGAGGCCTAAGTGATTTAGGTGGCTACATACCATTTTTAAAAGTGTGATCCACAAAGGCACTTAGGCATTGCCACGTTGAGGGTCATGTTGCCTAGAAAAGCCAGGAACAACACAGTGATCCACAAAGCCAAGTTATGCAGCTAGGCTCCCTGTACAATGAATGGGGAGAGAGAGGCACATACGAATGGAGTCCACAAAAGCCAGCACGTTTAGCAGGGAACTGCCGAAGCCAGCCAATAGGAGTTGGCAATCAGAGATGTATGCTAAACCCTGCCCCTATCTTGCAGATGGGTGCCTAATCCAGGCAGCAGGGTGGCACCTAGATTTGCTTGGTGATCTGTGAACGGGCATCCACCACCTGGAGTCAGATGGCTTAGGAGCCTAAGGTGTTTCCTGTAGAAATGAGTTAGGTGTCTGCCTCACTCCATCCAAACCGGCGGTTGGTGGTGCTCAGTGGTTAGAGCACTCATCTGGGATGTGTGAGACCCAGCTTCAGTTCCCAGAGCGGGAGAGAAGGAGTGGGGTGTTCAAGAGTCACTGGATTGTCCTCTTGAAGGGAGACAAGTGAGCAGCTGTCCTGGTGGTGTGGGAATCTCTATGGAGAATGCAGTTGGAAAGGATGTGCTTCGGCTAGGTCTACTCACTGACGTGCAGCTTGTTTTTCATTGAACAAAGGTGGGAGACCTAATGAGCGTTTTGGGAAAATGAAAACATCAGACGGACTTCAGCTAAGAGGCCCCTCACACTAACAAAGCCAGGAATACCTGGAGGGAGCTCATCTTCAGAATGCCCAGGAAATCAGCTGCTCTATGGGCAAAATGCCTAATCCAGCTCCCTTTGACTTCAGTGGGAACTTTTATTGATTTCAGTAAGCATTAACTTAGACCCTGAATTCTTTCATTAGAGCCACACAGGTTATAGCTCAGATAAACAGCTGAAATCAGAAGGGATTTAGGTGACTTTGTATCATTTCTGTGCTTGGGACAAACTTCCCCAAAAGGGGGCACATTTTAGTGGTAAAGGGGTGGTGGATAAAGCATCTTACTTATACTGCAGCAAACTATTGTTCAATTTATGTGAGTGTATGCACTCTTTATTAGAAATCCTTCTCACCTTTTATTCCCTTGGGTTTGATGAATGCATGTTCAGCAGAAAATTTTCTTTTTCATCCAAAAATTAGCAGCATTTAATACGTGTTAAACCTCTCTAGTCTGGCACCCTCGGGACCTGACCAGTGCTGAACCAGAGAATCTGCGAAACCATGGGAGGTCAATGCAGAGTGCCAGCAGGTCTCCACAGGCGCGGGAAGTAAGGGTGCGGGGGGTGCTGCAGCCTCCCCAGGCTTTGCACCCAGCATGGCCCCCCCACCCAGGGGCCTGGCTGCCACCTGGGAGCTCTGATACTGGCCCAAGGTCCACCCCCTCCGGCCCAGAGCTTGAACGCCATGAATCAGCTGTTCGCGGCATTCCAGAAGGGCTGGGAGGGAGGAGGAGGAGGAGTTGGTAAGTGCAGCGCCACGTGGGGGAGCTTGGAACCCACTAATTTTTCCCCATGGGTGCTCCAGCCCTGGGAGTGCCAGATTAGAGAGGTTCAACCTCTAATATTTAACCAGCTATTGGATCAAGGCATTTACAGTATTAAATTAAGTGATTTACAGTATTAAGTTAAATTATTAGAAAATGTTGCATGCATTTAGATCTTGCTATGAAGCAGGAAAGAGACTTATTCCCTTTTGTGGTGTAATTTGTTAGCTCTCCTAGACTAAGGAGGGTTAGGCATAGTTAGTATCTAAATGGGAGATCGTTCAAGTACATGTTACTTTAGGTAACAGCATTCCGCTTTCCAAAACTGCCCCTATAGTTTCAAATAACTAGATCATGCATCTTCATTTCCTATCCTAAATGTGTGTGTAGAATGAATGTGTGCTATTAAATAGCTACCAACATTTGCTCCCGAGGTGGCTGCATGTTGCTGGTGGGTCAAGATGCTCTTGTATGTTTATAAAGCACTCCGGGATTCTTTGGGATGAAAGGAACTATTTATATTTGTGATATTATCATGACTAGTTTGTAAATATTGCTGTGTAAAGTTTGTGCTCATATTTTTTTACTCTTTTGGTGACTCCCTTGGGCTAATGGAATTGAGCAGCTGTGGTCTAGTGCACTGAGCAGCTTACAGTGGAGTTAGGAGAGGTGGGATCTAGTCCTGGCTTTGACACTAACTTGGTGTGACCTTGGGCAAGTCATTTACCAGCTCACTGCCTCAGTTTTCCTTCCTGTACAATAGGAATAATAATGTTTAGCTGTTTTTGTAAAGCACTTTGATATCCATGAAATAAATATGCATAAGAGAAAATTATTATTATATCTAGAACACCAGTCAATCACTGGGAAAAATCAGTTCCAAACCAAAAAAAATGGTGGTAACTGAGTATTCTAGTGAGTGAAGTTATAACAGATAAACCTATCTTCACTTTTCCTTATACTGTAATCCTCCTCTTCTCCATGGTTTCTGATGCAGATCCAGGTATTATCTATCTTTCGTACCCGTCCAGCCATATAACATCCATGCTTGACTTCAGTCCAGTCTTTGCTGAGGCTCAGTTTGTCAATACAGTTTCAGCCACAAGGGGTCAGAACTTCCCCAAGTACAAATGGCTCTCAAACCTTTTCCTTCTGTGGGCCATCTGCCCTCCTATCCATCCCTGTGCTAACTACAGCACTTGGTTACAGTAACTTGCCTGTGTAACAACTGCATAAAAGCTGAGGAAGGATTTCAGGATTTGCTTCCGGTACTGTAGTAGTGATGGAATATATGGAATTTCTCTCCAGCTATGAGTGAAGGAGGTCTTGTGGCACCTTAGAGACTAACAAATTTATTTGAGCATAAGCTTTCATGAGCTACAGCTCACTTCATCGGATGCATTACTGTCTTCCTCTGCTAAATGGTATTTCCAACCTTGAGGTTTGTCAAGGCAGGATGTATTTTGCAATGTTCCAACTAAAATGTTCAAAATGTAGTGAATGTCCTCCCCACAGACACTTGCTTGTGTTGGCCCTTTGAGTCTAAAGTGATTTTTTACAAAGCACATTGTCTTCTCCCTCCCAGTTCAAATGCATACCGTGTAACTGAATTTGGGGAAAGGGAGATAGTGACAGGAGATGGCATGTGTGACATCTTGCTCAGGTCACTCACAACTATGAGCCCTCTCCGATACACCCACTCAACTGCTCTGCCAGCAAACTCTCTTGAGTACTCTGCCAGTCCAAACCTTGCCTTGCAGATACCCATCAGTGCACCCTAACTCCCAAGTTCCCCAGAGACGTCTCCCTGCCATGTCCCTCTCACTGGACACTCATAAGTTTGTTGCATCTAGAGAGACAGAGCACACACCAGAGACCCACCCTGTAGTTTATTACACAACCCTGAGATTGTTTTGTAATGAAACAAGAATGTTTATTAATAGAGAATATTTGTTAAGTGCCTTCAAGTAAGAGTGAAAGAGCTAGGAAAGATCAGTGACTAAAACTTAATTTCAGCAAGTTACAATATCTTTGCCTGAGCAGGTTTCTCACCAATAGTCAGTTCCCAGGAACTTCAACACCCTTGGCTGAAGGATCCACCTTTCTTCAATTTCAAGAGCTCTGGCCCCTTTTGTCTTCCCAGTGAGAGATACCAAAATGGCTTTCTGTGTCTGCTTAAATCTCCCAAAGCTCATTGACCCTGTTATAAGAGGCAGGAATGCTTCTTGGGGTGGAGCTTCCATTCCCTGATATGATTGCTAAGTAGCCATCTCCCCCACTTGCTCGCCTGATGGCCCTTATTTACCTTCCATGTAAATGTGCTTTCATTGTCTTTGATGTCACTTTGCTTAATCTACATTTGGAAACACAGTCAAGCAGGCAAAACAACATTCCTTTGTCTAAGGCATAGTCATTGCCTGCCAAAGACATTTTAGGAACATATTTCCAGCACACATCTATAATATTTTGTACATCACCTGTAAATGCATTGCTCAATAATATTAATGACTAGTGTGTTACCAGTTTGCATATGGTACCTTACATGACACCTTTTAAATACAGATTCTGACAACAGCGAGTTGGGTCAATGAGTGTGTCAGACCTGAAGTGAGTTATGGTAGGGCATGCCCTCTGCCAGTTGGCATTGGGGTCTCCCTGGGTCACAGCATGTCCAGCAGATGGGGATAGGGTGAAGAGCCAGGGTGCTGTGCTGGGGAGGGGGACTGGAGTCTGATGCTGAGTCGAGGGCTATTAGGGGCATGGAGCTCACCGATGCCTGTGTGATGATTGCATAACTGTGAGGCTGACTAACCGGTCCAACTAGCAGCACACAGGCACCTGCACTGGACCTCGTACCACTGTCCAGATAAAGCTGGAGTCTATAGACATAGATGGATGAAGCAGACACACAAATATTGCAGAGAACAGGCCAGGAGCCAGTGTGACAGATGAATCAATACTTTTCCAACAATCAACATCCACTGTTTGCCTCCTAATGTGAAAGAATTTAAATAACAATGGGCTGAAAGGCCAGGTGAGTCATAATCGTAAACCTCTCCAAGATGATCAATATACCAGTTGAGAGAGACACAGCACTCCTCTGAGAGCCTCTCCTAGGGCTGAGCGTGCCGCAAACAGTCCAAGGCCAAATATATTCAAAACCTCAGTTGCTGCTTCTCAATCCTATCAGCCAACAACCCAGGCTTGGGGATAGCTGCCCCTACTGGGGGCACTGACCTGTTCTGAAAACAATTCTTTGTATTTTTGTAGCAAATGCAACCATCAGCTCTGCTTGGCACGCCCCTAATGAAGGGAGTCAAAACTAACCAAACCCCTCAGGATTTTCTAGATTAGTTAGATAAATTGTGTGTGTGTTCTGGTTTTTAGGCTAAAGCATATCCAGGGCTAAATAAACTTCAGGGCTGGAGGGCAGGGGTGCTCTCACTCACTGGGTATGTTCAGGCAAAGCACTTAATTTCCCTGTAACGTTCCCCTCCGCCCCAGTAAAGAAGGTATGATACCTAATTCCAAGAGGGCCTTTGAGATGTAATTCAAGTTTGTAAAATGGAGCTCCTTGGAAGAAAGGGGCTAAACCATGGTAAAGTATTATTCTAAGTTATACTGAAATAGGCTTTCCTGCCTCTTGCCCTCCTCACACTCTCCCATCCATGCTCCTAGGACCAACACCTTGAACTGCCCCTGGAAGCAGATGCAATGCTAACACAGGTGCACTGCTAAAGCTCCTGAATGATCTTTGAGCATAGTAAAGTTGTAGTCCAGCCTTTGGGAATAAGGGCCATGCTGGCTGGGTGAAGTCTGTGGCAGCAAGGAACACTGCAGCCTCTTAGTAATCTTCAGCAAAATGAGAGATCAGTGCTACCTGGCAATTCAAGGCCACTTGGAAGCTCAAAATTACCCACAAAGCATGAACTGGGACACAGTCCTGCAGCAGAAAGAGCAGACCCAATCCTGCAGCAGATAGAGCATGCCAGTCACTGTGCATGTTACTTCCCCTTGCTAACAAGCATAAGGTCTGTCTTTTCCACCCTAATTAGCCATTTTCACTTTTAGCCAGGCAGTGGCAAAGCACTGCCCAGATCTGGTGAAAAGGAGGCATTGAACTGAGTATTACTGGGATGTGATTGCAGCCCCAAACTGGTCTCATATGCCTCTCACATACACATTGGAATAGAGGTGGGATGGAGTGCAGCTCTGTGGCATGGCATATAAACAGGCACCACCCTCCGAAAACTCTCAGACAGAAGGAGTGTAGCCATTAAAGAACAACCCTGTCCACCGTGCCAGACCCCATGAGTCAACTATATCTTGTGTTCCACCATATCAAAGGCCAACAAGCCTTGATAGGGCTAACAACACCAGCATGACTGCTGACGTTTGTCCAATGATTGGAGGAGGAAGAACATCAACTAAGGATACCTCCCTACCCTAGCCAGGTCCGAAACCATAGTGGTAGGGATCTGGCTGAGCCAAGGAACAGAGGAATCCAGATGAACCCTGAGCTGCCATAGAATCATAGAAACGTAGGGCTGGAAGGAACCCCAACAGGTCATCGCTCATCTTCCCTTGCTAACGCAGGACTAGACCATCGCTGACAGGAGTTTGTCCAACTTGTTCTTAAAAACCTCCAAGGATGGAGATTCCACAAGCTCCCTTGGAAGAAGCCTATTCATACATATCCTTTAATTTAGCAAGTTTTTCCTAATATCTAATCGAAATCCCCCTTGCTGCAGATTAAGCTGATTACTTCTTGTCCTACCTTTGGTAGACACGGAGAACAATTGATCACCATCCTCTTTATGACTGCCCGTTATATATTTGAAGATGATAGAATCATAGACTATTAGGGTTGGAAGAGACCTCACGAGGTCATCTAGTCCAATCCCCTGCTCAAAGCAGGACCAACACCAACTAAATCATCCCAGCCAAGGCTTTGTCAAGCCGGGCCTTAAAAACCTCTAAGGATGGAGATTCCACCACCTCCCTAGGTAACCCATTCCAGTCCTTCATCACCCTCCTGGTGAAATAGTGTTTCCTAATATCCGACCTAAACCTCCCCCACTGCAACTTGAGACCATTACTCCTTGTTCTGTCATTTGCCACCACTGAGAACAGACGAGCTCCATCCCCTTTGGAACCCCCCTTCAGGTAACTGAAGGCTGCTATCAAATCCCCCCTTACTCTTTTCTTCTGTAGACTAAATAACTCCAGTTCCTTTAGCCTCTCCTTGTAAGTCGTGTGCTCCAGCCCCCTGATCATTTTCATTGCCCTCCGCTGGACTCTCTCCAATTTGTCCACAACCCTTCTATAGTGGGGGGACCAAAACTGGATGCAATACTCCAGGTGTGGTCTCACCAGTGACAAATAGAGGGGAATAATCACTTCCGTCGATCTGCTGGCAATGCTCCTACTAATACAGCCCAGTATGCCATTGGCCTTCTAGGCAACAAGGGCACACTGCTGACTCACATCCAGCTTCTTGTCCACTGTAATCCCCAGGTCCTTTTCAGCAGAACTGCTGCTTAGCCAATCGATCCCCAGCCTGTAGCGGTGCATGGGATTCTTCCTTCCTAAGTGCAGGACTCTACACTTGTCCTTGTTGAACCTCATCAGATTTATTTTGGCCCAATCCTCCAATTTGTCTAGGTCACTCTGGACCCTATACCTACCCTCCAGCATATCTACCTTGACTGTCATCAAGCCATTCTTTGACCTGTCCAATCAAGGGAGAGTTTGGGGCAGAGGTAATGGCTGAGGTAATTACAAATAAATGTCTTGAGCAAAGTCCTGATCATCCCTTCAGGGTATTTAGCATCTTGCTCTCCAGAAGGGAGACATTAACATTCCCCATCAATAATGCACCCACAAACCTCCTTTCTGGGTTTCACCAGCCATGCACACATTTCACAGGACATAGTCTACAGCCCTCCTAGCACTTTCTGGATCTCTGTACCTGAATTCTGGTGAGACTCCGTTGGTCCAGGCCCATGGTGTCCTCAAGAGGGTAGCCAAACCAGTCTCAATACAACACCTGTGAAGTGGGTGAAAAACATCTCCTGACAGGAAATGACCAAATCTATTATTGGGTGGAGTCCATTTGGATTCACCAGACTGATCACCACATAGCTCAGTCTTGCTGGTCTGGACATCATGAAACAGGGCATGAGAAGAATTTAACAGCCCCTACCATAGTCATGGCACAGAAACATAACATTTCCTTACACTGAAGTCCTCAGGTGGGGGGAAACTAGATCACGTGTGAGCCTTTATATTCTGATATTATTTTGTTAGGTCCCCTGCTGTTTCAGTGATGAACACTGTCTGGTAGACAATCAGTTGGTTTTGGATTACATTTTCAGAATATTTATTTATAGGCATTTCTATGATGCTTATCGCTGACTGACATCCACGCGTGAGTTAGTCCTGCTGCCACTTCCTGTTTTATTGTGATGGAGCTATAGGGACTTTCACATCCTTTTCTAGTCAACTTTTAAATAATATTCCAATATAAAAATGACTGTTGGTGCAGGTTAGGTTGTTGGGGGATAACAGTGGGGTGCCTTCTTCTGATGTCACCTTGCCAGAGGGACACTTCTCCCATTCTTCTGTGTTAGTTTGGGGTTACTCTTCTGAGAACACCACCCTCGCCTGGTGGGGGAGGGGGGACTCCACAGATGCTTCTGCACCCATTTCTTGATAGGACCAGGCCCGGCTGGAGCCCTCTTCTGGCAACACTGTACACACTGAGCACTCAGCCAATACTACAGGACTAGGGTACTCTCCTCGGATGCCAACGTGTCAGCCTGGCGTGCACCTGTGACAGCCCAACACAAGGCTGGAGATCTTCTCCCACAGCACGACAGTAAAAGGCTGCTCGGTAAATTGCAAGGCCCCAGCCTTGGATGCTCCTCCAACAGCACCGTTTTGCCCGGTGGCCCTGCTCCGGGCTGCCAGCGTGTGGGTGTCACTCCTGTCCCAGCATTTCCTTCTGCCCCCCAGCATCGGGCTCTCATTTGGGCTGGCTGGGGAGCAGAGCTGGGAGGTAGCCCAGGGGCCGAAGAGCCCCCTAAGATTGGCACGTTGCCTTGAGAAGAGACTGGCGGTGCCACCTCAGGCTCACTCATGGACGGGCCTGGTTCCAAGGAGGGGCCAGCCCAGTGACCCCCCCAGACCAAGGCAGTGGCACCTCAGAGACCCCCTCCCCTGCTGGTGAGGGTAGGGCCAACCCGGATACGCCCTCCCCCCCCCCAGCGGCTGAGATGACACCACTCCAGAGACCCCCCTGTGGCTGGAATGGTACAACCCCAGAGACCTCCGCCCCCTGCTGGCTGGGGTGGGACCACCCCAGAGACGCTTCCCCCCCCGGGGCTGTGGCGGGGCCACCGAGGAGCCCCTCTACGCCGCCCTACCCAGGCCCCCCCCGGGGACGGGCAGCGCCACGCCCAGCGCGGCGCCCGCCCGCAGCCAGGCCGTGCCCGCGCACGCTCCGTCCCGCCGGGGCCCGCGCGCCTGTGTGGGGGTGGTGGTGAAGCGGGGGAGCGTCTTGCCGCCTGCCCGCCCGCCCGGGCGCGCCCCCGAGCGCCGCCTCAGCAGCGCCCGAGACTGAGCCAGGAGCGCACGGCCCCCGCCCTGCTGCCACCGCCGCGGGGTGAGTTGGGCGCGGGACTGACCCCAAGGGGAGACGGGCCTGGCAAATCCCGGGGGGAGAAACGGGCACTCAGGGGATCCCCGAGCGGGGGTGCAGGGGGAGACTGGCACTCGGGGGATCCCTGCTGGCTTCGGGAGGAGACTGATACATTTGTTCGTCTCTAAGGTGGCCCAGGTCCTCCTTTTCTCTTTACTCAGAGCTTGTAAACCCTTGTAGACCAGCCTGCCGTGGATCCCCGTGTGGGGTGGAAAAAGAAAAGGAGGACTTGGGGCACCTTAGAGACGAACACATTTATTTGAGCATAAGCTTTCGTGAGGCTGACATGCGCTGGGCAATCCCGGAGTTTCAGCAGTGTTTCCCAAGGAGGAGGGTTCGAGTCCATGGGTCAGCAGGGTCTCTGGCGGAGTGGCATGCGGTCTGCCAGGAAGGGGACTCGCTGTGGGGCAAGTCTTGCTGGGCCAGGTGTTTGACTAGCCTCAAAGATTTCTGCATCTCTTTTGTTTGAGGAGGAGAAAATCTTTGAGGAACAGCCAAACACTTAGTATGCCAAAGTTCTTCTGAGGGTGACCAGTGTCCCCTCCCGCATTGATCATCCCCCCCAAATCTCCCCCTCCCCATGCCCTGGGCTCTCCTCTGTGTTTTTTCTCTAGCACCCATCACCATGGTATCTGGGTGTGGGAGATTCCTTACAGTGCAACTTTCAGGAGAACCCAAACAGTATTTAAAATTAAAAAACCCCACATTTTCTCTAGCTGTGAACACAGGTGTTTCTTTATCAATCTTTGAATGGAAGCAAAAATTGACAATAACCAACATTTACCAATTTAAGCAAAGGCCCAAGAGTCTGTAATGAGCTTGGACCTCATTTGAATTAAAAATTCCAGTCCACGCTAGTCAGGAAAAGCAGGCTGGCAACAAACGTGATTTGCCCTGATTTGAAATCAGTATTGGATCCCAGTGGCATCAGGGCCCAAGGGCTCATTTCACTCCAGTTGCTTAGTCCTTACCTGAAGCCATAATCCTCTGTTTGTGTCATTACAATTAGCTGAACAGTTGTCACAGGAGATTACTACTCAGGTACGGAATAAGAATCTGGAGTGGGCAAACTCTGAAAGGAGCAGAGAAGCTGTATGATCCCTGGAATCCTAGAAACAGTCCCCAACTGCCTTCCCCTTTCCTGCTGGATAAAACATTGACACTCAGGCAGAATTGCTGCCAAAGTGTATGTGTTCCAAAGTTTTCCATAGAGCATCAGTGGCTCTTTAAGGAATGGAAGGAAAAATGCTTGTTGGCTTCCCAGACTGTGCACGAGCACTGTGACCTCATCAGGCTGGTACACGTGAACCAGGAAGCAGAACACAACTGAAGTAAACAAGACAGGTTGGGAACTTGGGAGAAACTGAACAGCTGTATGAGTAGAGAAGGGGGTGAATGGGATTTGATAACAGATTCCAGTTTCTGGGCTCGTCAGTAACCTCTGTGTAGTGGATGAGCTGGTTAACTGCCTGGGGGCTTGGTTCACTTTCCTCTTCCTAATTTTTGACACGCACAGATTGTAGCCCTGTCTCAATTGTTCTGTGTGGCAAGCTTCCTTTCTTCTTTTTCTTTTGTGTGAGGCTTATGTGTGTGGGTGTGGTATAATCGGTGTGATTTGATTACTAACATTTGTATTGAGTAAGCTTTAGAAACAAACAAAAACATAGGACCAAATTCTGCATCCTGTTACCTGAGGGTAAATCAATAACGCCTGAACATAGCCATTATATGAACAACATACCCTCATATCTCAATGTCTGTACTTTGACCCGTTAACCTTCTACCCTCAATTGGGGATATTGCAGATTATGTATTCTTTATGCCATCAGATCCTAAACTGAACTTTGCATCCCTTGATAATCTGTACATTATTCCCTGATAACCAGAAACTTCTATGGTTGAAGTGAGCTGTAGCTCACGAAGGCTTATGCTCAAATAAATTTGTTAGTCTCTAAGGTGCCACAAGTACTCCTTTTCTTTTTGCTTAAACTCTGTATGGTTTTCTTTTTATTTTAACATCGTCTTAATAAAATATTGATTTCAATGGAGTTCCTGCAGATTTGCCCCAGATTTAATTGATAGCAGAATTTGGCTGAAGTTTTGCCCCTTTGCTCGCTGCCCAAGTATGTACCCAGGAGGTCTGAGCAGGCTTGTTGTCAGGTGGCTAGCTTGAGCCGCTGCCTATGCTACCTAGCCATGTTGCTATTTTTATCTGGAGCAGAGTTAGCATGAATCTGTCCCCTGCACTGGGAGGCACGCTCCCAGCTGCAGAGTGGACATATCTTGAGATGCATTGGTGGAGCTGGGAAGGTTTGCAGAGCACCCCTTGTCATGGACTCACAGGTCGTGCCCACTCTTAGCCCCATGCAGTCCCTGGGGGGAACCCCTTTCAGTGAGACAGCCGTTCTCGGGGGTTAAGCCCCTCCACCTCCTGGAACTGCACATGACTGTTTCTCGCTGTGGGCCCCCTCAGGGAGTCCACTCGCTCTGGACCCCCATGGCCTCCACTCCCAGAGGGAATAATACAACCCTGTTCTCTAGACTGGAGTGACTCTCAGCCAGCATAAAACAGGAGGGTTTATTGAGTGTCTGAACACAGCATACGAAACTCTCAGGGCCCTCAGGCCTGGCCTCCCTCAGCACAGTACATCTGAGTCTCCCCTGCATCCAGGTGGGCTCTGCCTGCTCTGTCTCTCCAGCCCAGAGCCCCCCTGCTTCCCAGCTGGGCATCTGATATCACAGGGCCCCTGCCTGTGTCCATTGTCTTCTATCCAGGTAAACAGGGCCTCCTCTCCTCTCTTCTGTCCTCTGGCCCCCTCTGGCTGGAACCGCCTGGTCAGGTCACCGGGGTCCTCTCTTTACAGCCCATTGTTCTCCCACTGTCCGGAACTGGCTGTGGATCCTGAACTAGGCCTTCAGGTCACCAGTTGCTGGGGTATCCATTCTCCAGGACATTGGCTGGGGTCCCAATTTCCATCGCTGGTCCTCTGTAACAACAAACTCCCTCTCCCATCACCTCTTTAAACCAGTAACAACCAGGTAAACTGAGTCCCATCCCCTCTGCATGCAAACCATTGGAAAAAACAAGAAAATCCCCCCCTTCATCACACCCCTCTGTGCTATTGCTAGCTCAAGCCATGCCATCTGGCCTTTCTTGTCATGAAATGTTTGATCTTAGATTTTGGAAAGAAATCTCTGAATCTTTCTTTTTAAATTCCTCTCCAATCCTGAAGGGAGATCTGCAGCTTTCCAAGGTGATCTTTTTCTGAATGGAGTTCCTCAGACAGCTCTGATGTGGCTAAACAATCCCAAACTAAGGGGACATGCCATTCATCTCAAGCGGGCGGGGGGTTGAGAGTCATTGTTTGGAATCAGCGATCCTGATTCCTCTCCAAAAGGGAGCACAACAACCCACGTGTAAAGTGGTTGGGGTGGCTGTTTATTTCTAAAGTGTGTATGTGTGTGGGGGGGGGTGGTTTTCATGCTGCAGTTATTAATAAAGGAAATAACGATACTATCTCCCTCCTGTTTTAGGAACGTGGATCCTTGATCAGGACTCTAGCAGAGACCATGAGCTGTTGCTAGGCTCTAGCCTTCTGACTTTCAGGTGAGCAGGAACATAAGACACAGTGCGTCAAATTCACCCCAGTCTAATCCCCCTGCAGTGAGTGGAGTTAGACCAGGGATGGATCTGGCTGACTTTGAAGTGTTTGGTCTTGGCTGTGCTTGCATTGATGAGGATAGCAGCAGGATTTGTGGTCAATGTGAGGCTGAATAAAGAAATGGCCAAGATGGAATTGTTTTTTCAGAGAAAGTAAATTTGTCCAATGTAGTTAAAGGGGTGCTGCTGAATTTTAACTTGGGTCCCAAATTTAGTTTCTGTTCAAAACCCCATGAGCATAGATATGGGGTTTTGGGGAAAATAAAATCAAACTTTTCTTTAGTGTATTTGATTGAAACTTTCCCCCTAGATTATTGGAAAGCTAAACATAACAGTAGCCTGCTTGTGTATGAAAACCAGCCAGCAAAATTCACCACACTAGTTTCATTGCTCTGAAGTGAAGAGAAGACAGAAAGCGAACAGCACAAATGGTGGAAAGTCCATCACCATTTTAAAAGCTCTTTCAGATTTAAAAATCAGGTGAAGAAATAAAGCAGTTCTACCTTGGCAGTGCCTCTTTAACATATGAGGATGTTTACATTGTGCCTTTCACTTCTGGCTGTGGTATGGTTAGAGTGATCTGGTTTTGGGAGGGGTGTGAAGCACAGTTTAAAGTCACGTTGATCATACTCCAGCCCTCTTTAAGAAGTGGGCCTCTGCTGGCAGAGACAAGAACTGGAACCCCAGAATTCTACCTGAGTTATTTGGATTGGGTCACCTCCATCTGAGTAGCTTAAGATGTATCATGATTACTCAGAATTCCCTCTTATCCCTCCTGCACATAAAGGCTATTCCCTTCCAGATGCTAGTATAGATACCTGTCATCAACACATACCAATCTCAGACTGGTTGGGTCTTCACATTTATGGCATCAAGGAAGATGGTGTGAATTGAGAATCAAGCCTAGGTCAGAAACAGGGTAGCATTGTCCATTGTGTGTAGTTCACAATAGCCATCATCAGGATGGAGTTAAACATTAAAGATAACTGATTATTTGTGAAAAGAAAAGGAGTACTTGTAGCACCTTAGAGACTAACCAATTTATTTGAGCATAAGCTTTCGTGAGCTACAGCTCACTTCATCGGATGCATACACGAAAGCTTATGCTCAAATAAATTGGTAAGTCTCTAAGGTGCCACAAGTACTCCTTTTCTTTTTGCGAATACAGACTAACATGGATGTAACTCTGAAACCTGTGATTATTTGTGGGTTACAAAGAAAAAAAAGTGGGCCTCTTCCCACAAAGCTCTTCGCCAATAGGCGAGATGAGAAACAAATGATCTCTTACATTTTAGTCCTTAACCTTCTGCCTTGTCCATTGTACCATAAATAAATCCTCCAGTGTCCTGGATTCCCAGCCTTGTTAGATGTTGATCTCGCCTGGTTACATCTCAGGAAAGGGGGTGGAGCACCAGTGCTCTTCTGGTAACTGGGTGATAACAAACAATGTCTTCCAATGCCCTGGCCGTTTAACCTCTTAATTCCCAAGAGGCATTCAGGTGGCACAGTTTGCATGTGGTTACAAAAACTGAATGGTCAGCAGGGTGTGGGGTTAAGTTTTTGAGTGCTTCTGAGCTGGCCTTAGTTGCATTCATCAGCTGTGTGGAAAGCAGAGGAATTGGAAGAGGAGGGTGGCTGATGTTGCTGGAAAGTAGCTTTGAAGCAGACCGCTGTCTCCTAAGGTTGGCTTAACTCTCCACTTTCTCCTCTTTAGTTTGTGAGGGGAGTTTGAGGCACCGGGGTCATGGCGGACTGGGTGCTCCTTGGACTGATTGGGGCATTGCTTGTACTCCTGCTGCTGACTCTCTTTGGCTTTGCCATATATTCGGGGCTCTTCTCGGAGGTGGTCGTGAGTACTGGCTCGCCCCCCATCTGCAACATCACCCTGGCATACAAGTCGAAAGTGGGGCCCTACAGCGAGTGTGGCAAGCTCTTCATGGAGAGCTGCAGCATCTCTCCAAAGCTCTGCTGCATCGGCGTCTACTACGACCACCCTCACACGGTAAGAACCAGATGGGAGCTCTCTGGAGCTGGCCAGGCCTGGAAGCCATGCTGCTCATACTCCTCCAGGATGGGCATACAGCTGTGGGAACTGGGCGGAGTTCTGAAATATGGGCCTCAAGTCTGTATATGGCAGAGAGACCCCAAGCTGCTGGAGATCTCAGGCTAGTTTTAGGCATCCCAATAGATGAGTTCTATAATCCTCTGGGCTAGGTCTCATGGAGTTTCAAAGGAAGGCACTGTAGGGACAGGAGTCTGAGGAGGACCAATTGCAAGTGTTGAGGAGTTCGGTTTCAGTGGGGGAGCAGAAATTAGATCTCCATATGACCCCTGCTGGGTAGAATACCCCTATAATTCTCTATGGAGTGGAGCTGGTGTACTAAACCATGGGAGTAAAGCATTGGATGCCAGATCTCCCTGTAGATGGAAGCGCAGCCTTCTCTTCTGGGCCGCTGTTTGATATTCTCTGATATTCTCTGAAGAGATTTATATCCCCAGAAGTGCTTGAGACTTTCAGTCTGCACTTTTCTGCTGGTGCTTGCTAATTGCAAGATCAGATGGTGAGTCCTGATGAGATCCTAAGCCTAATACGGGCTTCCCTGTAGAATAAAATGGTTCCCTCTGGCTCAAACTCTTCAGGTGGTGGGGAGAAGATCACTGTCTAATGGATGCTAGGCAGCAGGTTAGTACCTTAGATTCTGAGATCGACCTAGTCCAGATGGCCAGTAAACCAACCTGAGTCTTAATTCCCAGGGGGATAAGTAGGATGAGTGACTGACTTGTTAAATGGCATCTGCCCATGATAGACACGCAGTCTCACAAGTGATTCAGCAACACCCAATGTGACCTGTCAAGAATCCTGGGCGAGACCTGCCAGCAGCTCTGTGTGTGTGTGCTGGGGAGTTTGGGCTGTTGGACTTAGAGCTTAGACTGATAGCTCCTGCTTGGCTTTTCTGATCCCTGCTGAGCTTGGGCGACTGGTCTTGTGGTGCAGGAAGCTGCCTTGAATGTACGAGGCCTACCCCTGTTTTATTGTTGGCTGGTGGTGCCTTTAGACAAGCGTAATGTGTTGCTCAGCCTGACTGTCAACATTCCTCTCCTGTTAAGGGGACGTCATCCACTTGCACCTCACACTTCTGTTTGCAAACATTCTACTATCCAGCATTACCAGGGTCCCCTGCAGCCACTGCTGCTGGAGGAAATGGGAGGAAAAGAGCCTCTGGGTGCACCCGTTTGTTCAGTTTGTGCGTTTAACAGCACTTGTCGTGGAGTCAACTTGGTGGCCCTAAGCCGCTCTAGCAGTCCCCATATCTGCCCCTTGCCTGGCCCCTTTACTCTCATTGTCCTGTAGCTCCATGCAGGCTGTGGGAAGCAGAGAATAGCCACAATGCAGTAGACTCCTGCCCCAGACTTGCCACTTCCCTCTCCATGCCTCCAGGATGGGAGCAGAAATGGGTGCTGATGAAGACCCCGTATGCCAGCTTTATGCCAACATGGCAGGGGGTGTGCATTGGTGGTTGTTTCTGCCACCTGTAAAGTGTGGCACAGTTGGGCTGAGAGAGAGAGGGACTCCAAGTGGGTACAAGATTGGGCTGGGATAGAGTGGTGGCACATTTGGTGCTGGCAGAGGATCTGAGTGGCTGACTCCCCTGCGCTGTGACAGAAGGACTCTTCCCAGATTGTAAATGCTGCTGGAAAGCTTTGTCGTCGTTTTGGCCCATCGCTGACTACTGGACATTAATAGGCTGTTTGTGGATAATCTCCCCTCCCTGAGTTCCGAGGTGCCGAGCGTCTGCTCTTGAGTCAGGCCCACATTCACAAGTTGCACCTCTTGAGTTGTGGGGAATGAATATTCCACAAGTGGTAGCAGGAAAATCAGGACTTTCAGTACAGGGCCACTCTTCCCAGTTGATCAGCCTTCAGGTTTGCAGCCCTTCCTCTCCCCCTTCTCGCTGCAGCTGTCAGCCCTGAGCTTCCCCGACTTAACTCTGCAGTTGGGGATTGTTGACGTTGTCCTTGTTCCCATGTCAACGCCCCATGACATCAGGAACTAGAGGGTTGTAATATCACAGCAGGAGCTGTTGGGAGGATGAACCCCTTATTCCAACATGAATCTCTTTAGTAACAGCCATGAGAGCAGGCACAAGTACTAGCCACGGAGCTTGCTCTTGGGAGAAATTTCCTATGGAAGGCGCCTCCAGCATGGCCGTTCCTCTTTAAACAGCGAAGTGTATATCTGGCAGCTTTCAGTCTGGGCAGGGAAGGGAAACAGGCTCTGGATCAGTCTCTGGGGTCAGCAGCATGGATGTGCTAGGAGCTGTTGAGAAACCCCTGCTCTCTTGGAATACTGGGGGTCCTCTTGTTTCCCCCCATTATCTGCCTGCTGGCTCCCTGGCTGCCTCCTGGGGAGACATCTTTGGAATCAGTTTAATTTCTTTTAGTGGGGTTATTTAATGTCTCGGACCCTGCTTCAGCCACTTCTGTGGTGGAACGTGGCAGCTTTTTAACAGTGCCCAGCAACGCTACACAGCAGTTTAGTACAGGAGACGAAGAACGACACTGTATGGAATTGGGCCAGGACTTGGGGCAAACAACCCCTCCTTTTTCAAACAGTGCCACAAGGGCCTTAGTGACTATAAATGGTCAGGACCTAAGGGAAATATATGGCTCCCCCCCAGCCTCATGCTGGGCCAGGGGGCCAGCGTTAACACCAGGGGCAGAGAGCTCCACCTACTAAATGGCCAAAAGAATGAGGAGTACTTGTGGCACCTTAGAGACTAATAAATTTGTTAGTCTCTAAGGTGCCACAAGTCCTCCTCATTCTTTTTGCTGATACAGACTAACACGGCTGCTACTCTGCAGCCTGTCACCATGAATAGCCAAAGCAGACTTTACAGGCAGTCTGGGCAGCGTAGTGGTAACCCTGAATCTCTCCTGCCGACGTTGTTTGTTACACTGGGGCAGGTGATAATACCACATTGGTAAGAGATGTTCTGAGCCATGGTACCTGCACCACTGCTGGGACAATTCCATCCGCCATGCCACAGATACCCAGGGAGAGCAGCGCCGGGAAAGGTGCTTTGCTCAGACTGCTCCTCTTTTACTGCAATCACATGGAATCTCAATGTGTATTAAGGATAAGAAGCAGCAAAATGTTGTTGGACTTTACATTGAGCCATTGTTTAGCTGGAGTTTGCCAGGAAAGAGCTTCTGAGCATCTGTGAAACATTCATTCAACAGGGCTGCTCTGGTCATGTCTGCACAAGTCTCACCTCCCCAGCCCCCCATGGTCTGCACACATCCTTCCTCCTCCTCCCCCCTTGTGGTCTGCACATAGCACTCAACACGTCTTGTTAGGAAAGTTTTGTAAAGGTGCCTTTGAAAGCTGCTTTCTGCAAACACAGTTCCACTGGCTAGTCCCTCGTTCACCCAGTTCTGCCCCATCCCTGCCAGCTGGCATCATCGCATTTGCAGACCTCTGTTTTACACCCCAGGTTCAAACAGGATTTATTGCCCTTGGGTAAGCTGACATTCTGCCTCCATAAATTCCCCCTCCAGCTTCGATGAGTTGCAGTATCATCTTGGTTGGTGCCCTGTTCCATCCCAGAGGTGGCTGCATTGCAGGGTCCCTAGGTCCAGTCTCCGTTACTGCTTTGGGATCTGTTTGGCTCTGGCCATGTCAGATCATTCTCCACTTGTCCAGCAGTGCCCTAGCTGGGGAAAAGGGAAGGCACCCCTCATGCTTCACAAAGGTGAGCTGGCTCTCCAGGGGGAAGAGGAATGCAGGGGCTCTGGGGTGCACTCACAGCAGAGCTCTTGGATAACTAATCCCAGCGAGGAGCGATTCTCCAGGCTCCTTGTTGATCTGGAAGGACTGAGCTCAGCCCCCCACTGAGCCCAGAGCTCCACCCAACACGTTGGCTTCTTAGTGCTGCTTCCGCTGGGGGGATGTGGGGCATGTACATTGGGTGGCCTTTAGGAGAATCTTCCCCCATTTCTGTGAGCTGGTTGAGCTCCCACCTCTCCACATCAGTTTTCCTTCTTGGTCTGAGGTGTCCCCATGGGGCATCGCCAGCAGCAATGCCAAGTGTTTTGGGTGCTGAGTAATAACAGGGAGACCTTGGTCTCCAGCGCTGTCCATCTGGCACCATTCATTGACGCTCAGGATGTGATTCTGGGCAGGGCTGAGCACCACAACCCCCCTTTGATTTCAGTGCTGCTTGTTGTGCTTGTGGGAATTATGATTTATATTGGTGTAGTGCCCAGAGGCCCCAGGCAGAATCAGGGCCCTGTTGTGCCTGGTGTTGTATGATATGATCATTAATAATACTTTGCACTTCTACAGCATCGTCCATCCAAACACCTTCAAACACTCAAGTTGTACACAAACAGTGCATCAAAGCACCCATGTGAAACGGGGGGGTGGGATCCTTGTTTTACTGAAGGGAAAACTGAGACAGAGAGGGGCAACGTGATTTGTCCAAAATCACACAGTGAGTCAATGGCAGAGCTAGGAATAGAACCGGGCACTCCCGACTCGCAGTCCTCTGTTCCAGCTACTGGATAACAGCCTGCTGGGGAGACCTGGTCCATTGCCAGGTACAGTGCAGTGCTTGATGGGAGCACAGCACCCGAGATGCCTGCCAGCAGACTTTCAAAGACAAGTCAGGCCAAGCTATTGCAGCATGATCAAAAAACTCCCCATGGCATCAGCCTGCGTGAACGAACTCCTTCACCAGTGCCCGGGCTGTAGATGAAAGGCAGCTGCTTGCCCTCTCCCACGGGATAAGGAAACTGGTTTTGAACAGGGTGTTGCAGTTGGGACGTGAAGCTGCCCCAGTAGAAAGAGGGGGATCTAGGTGGAAAATAGACTGATTTGCGGTATGATTGTCCCGAAAATAACGGTGCTTGAGTGAGATGAGGAATGGCTCAGGGAGACAGAAATGGTCTCCACTGTCTGTGTGTGTGCCCATGGTTGCTAGGAAGAGGTGACAGGGTGTG